GTCAAGGTCCTATCATAAACCTGATTTAGCTTTCCTGGAGTTTACAAATCCCTTGTCGTGCTGTGGGTCTCATTGTTCTCTTTGGGGTTCTCATCATTATGATTTTTGCCTATTTTAAGTATCTTGTTTATAATTTTGCATCGTTTGTCTATGACATAGTCATGATTCCTAATGCCCATCAGTAAGAGTTTGGTAAATGCTTGTACATATCAACATATATATGTGGATCCAATACATCCTGTTATCCTGTTTATAGAAGTATAACCACTGGTTGTTGTTATTATCCTACTAATGTGAGTGTAAATATTGATCATAACTAATTGAGGAAACTACTAAACGATTTTATGACATATTACTGGTTTATAATTGAAATTATTTTTTTGATATTCGATATTTGGCATGCTATCTTTTAAAATTAAAATTGGGCTACCTATAACTTACATATTGAGTTATCTCACATTATTTTTCTTATCCACCATTTTAGATATGAGACTAAACACGCAAGAGATCAAGGTGAGTGATGTGCTAGATGGCTAATTCTTTTATTATTGAATTGATATTAGTTATTGGAATTTTAGACATGAATGTTCACATGATTTAAATATTGGATTTTTAGGCATAATTTGATTTGTTTTTTCTTCCTTTTTTTTTTAATTTTAGAATAGAGATTATTTGAAATAGTATTTTTATAATAAATTTTAGTGGACTTTTTATTAATTATGGATTTTATATAATATTTTAAACAAAATTTGAGCCTTTGTACCCTTATAATGCCCACTTACAAGGCGTAGGTTCCACATCAGATTTGGGGCATAACATTAACGTTACTTGACCATTGATCATATCGTTCCCCAATTATTACTCCGGGTTTAATCTTAGTGTTACTTGACTTGACCATTGCTCATATCAATCCCTGATTATTATTGTGAGTTTGATCGGCCTTAATGAGTTTCATTGACCTAGATAGTTTCCTTCGTGGTTAGTTGCATTGCTTATTATTTGGTTTTTCCTTTAATCTCTCTTTCTCCTTCATAGGAATCATATTATCTCAATCTCTCCCACTCCATCCCATCCAAGCTATAGCTTCCACAGATTCAACACTCAAGCATTCAACTTTCCCGAGAAACAAACAACCCTACACCCAAAATCATGAATTTTGTACCAAAGTTTCATCCTCGCACACATTTGAAGCTTCATTTAGTAGTTCTCTGTGCTTTTTCTCTATCTTTCATTTCCTTAGCCTTAGCATCCTCTCTTCCAACCAATTCATCAGAAATATGTCTGATGGACCTCAACTATGTCTTAAGAATACCATGGAACTTTTCCTTTATAGTAACTTCCACCCCAACAATGACCCCAGTAAAGACCTATGTTGCACCTTCCTTCTTTCCCTCTTTGATGACGCATTGGCGTATTGCCTCAAAGAAACCTCCTTATTCCATCTACCAAACTTGCTCACAACCATGTCCTACCTCTGAGATTACCAATCCAAACTCACTATTCTTTCTCTGTCTAATAATTTGGTTTTCGATTGCTTTGATCCCCTATAGTTTGTAAGCACACACAATATTTGTGCCCACATAGAGTCGACCCAAGACTGGATTGCGCAACTTGGGAAGTCGATTCCGCTTGAGTCAACCTGCAAGCCTGACCTCACTTGTCCCACCACTTGTGCTACATGTACCGATCCTAGGGTCCAAGCTAATGCATAGTTGGTGCAAATTGATGGTAATAAAACTCATGCTTATAATTGTTTTCACTTTATTGTCTTTTATGTTGCTGGGATAGTTAATTAGTTTGGACTTTGTTGTACCTATGATTTTGATGATTCAAAACACATTTGAGTGACTAATTGGTTCATTTAAGTGTGTAATGAAAATGTCAAAAGATTGCAACATAAGTAAACTTGGACTGCACTTAAAAATGGACCAAAAAGGCTTGAACATGTGCAGGAGCCGACTCTTGAAAGTTGCAGCCGGCTCTGGTGAAATGGAAGTGCAGAGAGCTGGCTCTTGAAGCTGTAGCAGGCTCTACAGGCAAAAATTTGAAGACCATTGTTTGGCGCACGCGGAGAAAAGACGTAAAATCGGCTCCAATTTTACAGCCGGTTGTAAGGGTGCATTTAATGCATAGTAGTCGACTTATTTGAAGAATAATTAATATTTTTGAACTTGGACTACTGTAATATCCCAAATTTTCGAGAATATTTAAGTGTAAGTTAAGGACTTGATTGTGAGAAAAGATTATTTTGGGGCCTAATGTGAATATTTCAAAAGTTGAGGGACTTAAAGAGGGAAAGATTTTGGATAAAGATGACTTCTTTTCTTTTTCTTTTTCCTTCCTTCTTTCTTCCCCAACCATTTCTCGATTCTGCTCATCTCTTCCCGTTGCAGCCACCCGAGAAAAAAAAAAAAAGAGAACCCAGCCATGCCTTGGAAAATTGGTAAGGAAGCTTGGTATTTTCCCCTTCCTTTCTTGCTCTAGAACACACCTAGAACCCAGAAATCTTCCCCCCTGTTGGAAAATCCGAATCTGCCCTGCTTTGCTCTGTCCTTCCGCCGGCTGCTCCTGCTTTGTGGGGGTGATTTGCTCCGGTTTTGGGTAAGAAACAGCTACCAATCCCTCTGTTCTTGCTTGAATTAACTTGGGTCTACCTTAATTGCTCTTGGGTTCCTTTAATTTTGGGTAGATCCGTGAGTTTCTCCCCTGCACTTGCCGCCGGCCTCCTCCCCAATCTGCACTCCGGTTTTGCTTGCTGGATTTATGGTATGTGGCAGCTTCTCTAAGTCCTAATTTACCCCTTTAATTGTTGAATTTTGTCCATGGATTGGCTGCCCCTATGATGTCCGAAAGTTTACAGAAATTGGGGATGAATTTTGATAGCTTAAGCTATGTTTTTAAGCTTGATTTAAGTGTAAATTAGCTTGATTAGTTGCTGTGATTTTTGGAGAAAATCCCATGAGATTAGCTAATGTTTTGGCCAATTTGTGAAAGTCGGGGTTACTGTTCACATCGGGTTACTGTTCACCGGCACTGTTCACCGGCACTGTTCACCGGCACTGTTCACCGGTTACTGTTTACACCCCAAGGGCCAACATTTAATGGGAATTTAAATGATTAGTTTGTGATATGAGAACGAATTTGGAGATATTTGATCATGTGGAGATTTATGGAAATAGCATTGTGATTAGGAATGATCCTAATGAAGTGTTCAGTGTGAATTTGTGATAGTGGTATTAATTCTTGAAATATCTTGATTAGGTTCTTGATCGTTCTGTCAGTTAGCACGTGAATTGAGTGCTCGGTTTTATGCAAGTGAGGTAAGTAAATTTATGGTAATGCTCGTACTGTTTTAAAAGCATGTTTTGATTTGTTTTTGAAGTGGTGGCGGGACTAAACCCGTTTTACACGAGCATGACTGATTTGAAGTGAAATTTTATGCTTTTCATTAAGTTGAGCATGCCTACTTGAAAGTTTAATTGATTGTCCTGATGATTTGAAAGTGATTGGTGAGTTATGATTTTTCTGTTAACTTCTGCCTGTTTTGTCTCCGATATGGTCATGTTATTCGTGTGCCCGCTAGTGGGAGGTTTATAAACGCTAGCACATGTCGACATGTTCGTGATAGAACCGGTTCGCTCGTGGCCCTACTAGTGGGGATTATACACTAGTACTCGTGTGCCCGCCAGTGGGAGGTTTATAAACGCTGGCCATGACCTATAGAGGAGACGTCTATTTCGTGCCCATATTGTATCCGTTTTTCGTGATTGCACATGTTGGCATGCTATAAGTTTAAATAAGGGGCACTCCATATTTACTTACTGAGTTTACCTCATAGTTTTCCTTGTCCACCATTTCAGGAAATGAAACCGAGGACGGGGAAACCACGGGAAGTGACGAGTTAGAGGCTAGCCATATTGTAATTGAACATAGATTTTATAATTTGATCTTCAGATTTTGATGGTATCAGAGTATGATATGAATAAGTTCCGAGCCTTGTGCATTTGTGGGACCCGTCTCACGAGTGCACGGCGTCTGTCGCGTCTTGAAATTGGGTTTTGGGGCGTGACAACTACCAAAGCTGGCTTTACGTTTTTGTAGCCGGCTGTCCAAGAAAACAGAATGTGCAGTAAACCTGCAAAGCTGGCTTTGCGTTTTGCAGCCGGCTCTACAGAGAAAATAGAATGTGTAGGATCCCACAAAGCCAACTGCAGAAATGGTAAGCCAGTTGTACAAAGTTGGCTTTAGGAAGTTAAGTCGACTATCCTGACAATCCTGCAACTTGAGCTTTACGTCCTGCAGAGCATTTAATGACCCCCAACGGCTAGAAACGACTATTTTCGAGCAAGGGGTTATAAATATGGTTGGTAGAAGATTTGAAGCAAGTTTAGAGAGCATTGAATTGAATATCTTTACCTACCTACATGAACTTTAACTTGAGTTTTTGATATTTGAGAGATCTTTACTTGTAATCCTTTTCTTGTTCTATTTGTGAGTGATCTTGGGGGTGTGATTAACCCTTCAAGAGTGATCTATAGAGAGGATTTTTGGGGTTTATCTTGTAAAGTGGTGAGATTTGAGAGAAGCACCCTTCGTCTTGTAAAAGGATTGAGTGGCTCCTTTAAGCCACTCTTGATTTTGTTAGTGGAGAGTGTGGAGGAAATCCTTGGTGAGTGAAGCCAAGGTAGAGGATTAGGCTCCAAGTGGTTGGACCGAACCTCTATAAAATCATTGAGCAAGCTCTTCTTCTCTACTCTCTTTAATTTTGGTGTTATGGTTGCAAAAGGGGAGAATTTTTGGAACTCCAATTCACCCCCCTCTTAGAGTACATTGAGTCAACAAACTTGAGAGTGATCATGCTTTGTCGTGCATTTTTTTGTTATCTTTGGAAACACAAATTACAGTTGGAAATAAACATTCAGGGGTTGTTTTGGGATTGACTGGAGTTGGGGTTGTTGTTTTTGTAATGTCTAGTTTATTGGGTTTGTATTGTTGGTATGCAAAGAGGTTTAGGAGAAGAAAGCTTGGTAGTTATAGTTCTGGTTTTATGACTTAGAATTGAAAGAGTAAGGGTCTAAGCCTAAATTTTATTGGTAGTTATAGTTATATTTTTATTTAATTAAATAATTTAAAGAATAATATAATATAATATAATTTTTCAATTTTATTAAATAAATAAATAATTGAAATAAAATTTATATATATTATTTTTTAAAAGTAAATAAATTGACAAATC